CAAAACAAACAAAGGAACATTTAAGAACATATTATTTTACGGCTAGCAACCTCGCTTTTCAGATTTTATCCGATAGACGTCAGGATGATATTCTGTGTAATACTCTAACATTAATACCTTTGTACTTTCTCATACGCTCCAAGGTTTTCAGGAAACTTAAATATATGATTCTCCAGTTAGTATACTACTACATCCCAGATTTTCAAACTTAATTAAAAGGAGAGAGAGAACTCTTTGTAATTTTCGCCCTTCCGGTGTCCTAAAAAATGTACGACACCAGCAAAAGATTTTTCTTTTCGTTGACTCTGAATAACATTTGTAGTTGTGGATCATCAAAAATAATAGTTTTTAGTTTTTCATTACTTAAAGCGGGCAGCTTTCTTGAAATATATAAAATGTACAATACAGTTTTCTCTAAATATTAACATTTTGCTTCAGTTCGTCCCAATTCGATGCTCTATGGAGGTAAAATCATCTCTATAATCATGTTTGCAGGGCAATTGAAAAGTTCCGGGAACACCACGGTAAAATACATTTTTTGGCAGAATTCGTTTTTTCTTTAACATAGTTCCCTTCAAGGGTGATACACTGATTATAGCGACTCTCCAACTTTACCATACAAGTTTTGCWGTACTACTTGTCTTTGGCTTCAAAATAGGCTTAAGGTTCGGCGATCACCTCTTCCATCGACAAAAGTTTCTTCCCAGCAAACATTATTTTAAGATCTGCGAACAGGAAGTAGCCGCTAGAGGCCAGATATAGGGTGGATGCGTAAGCAATCTGAAGTCCAGCTCATGGATTTGCCATCGTATTCACTAATTGAAAAAGGACTTCATTTTTATTCATATGCGGGCATTTTTCAGCGATTTTGTCCTTCAAAAAGTCCAATACCACTATATAATAGTCGCTTATTGATGGTTKTTCCTTTTCCAAGTTAGTTTAATAAAAATTATACCATGCACTTCCCAAAATCGACCGTCCATAATCTTATCAGCTGACTGTGCCGTTTTCCATCCTTTGGTGCGGGTTCATTGTGCGCAGTTCACTTGGATGTCTGTCGATTGGACTTCAGAGTGAAATAATGTAGTCMTGTTTAATCCATTGTCACACATCGGAGCAAAAACTCGAGTTATTTACGCCTGAACATCTCGAAACAGTGCCACGAATCATCAAACTCGTCGTTGTTTTTGGTCAAAAGTGAGTTTGCACAGAGTCTTCTCATACCCAAAAATTCATAAATGATATTATGTATAACATCAGTTAATATCTCTAGTTTTCCTAGAATTTCGRACAATTTCCATTTACGAGCATCAAAAATTAATTTGGAGACTTTTTTGATATATTAGTCGGTAACAGACTCTTTACGGTGACCATTGAYTTCATCGTCATCGGTKCTCATTTTGCCTYGTTCAAATTTAGCAAACCACTTTTCAACGGTTGATTTCCCCGGTGCAGATAATGTTAATCGATCTAAACCTTGGCTTCAACAGTATTTATTTCCACAAACATTTTTAACACACGAAATTCCTTTYTATTAACTTTTTCATTTCAARTTTATCTTATATTATAATATACACGCAAATTTTGAAAGTTAGAGCTAACTAAAGCTCAAATGGRTTTAATTCTGGTGGCGTCACTTATTTCTCAATCTTCTTCATCCAGTGRTTCATATTCTGCTGTGCCATAAACATATAAAGCATTTAATGCACCCACTTTATTGTTCTAACAAAAATTTGGCCATTTTTMAATCCACAACGAATGAAATTACAAAAAAAGTTTTTTTTCATATTTCGATAGGTTACACCTTAAAAAAAACATCACAAAAAGTTCTTGAGATCTGGATAAAGTTTTCAAGTTGTTTTTTCTGCGGCATACTTCATGCTAMTGACATACTTTCAAATTTAAAGTCACTACAATCTTCATTTGGACACTTATGTATATGTAGACATATATGTACTATATATAATTGAATTCATTAATACTTTATGTTTACGTTTATCAATAAAATCGGTTGTTATAAGTGTTATTAAACGAGTGGTCACACGAAAAGCTATAAAATTAAATTTGTCAAGTATCATAAATGAGTCAGCAAAACAGATCTGATTTTTAAAACAATGAAAAATGTATAATGTAAAGTACCAAATTTATGAATGATGAATGCACATGAACTGCGCAGTTCTTAGTTAGTCATCCACTTAACRAGGATCTTTACTAATTGAAATTACAATACCAACATAAACTAAACCTTCCCTAAGATTTTGTAATACTCTGAACAGGGTATATTAAATAAGCGAGRTCGTAGATTCTACAAAGTATAATTACATATAATATGATTAGCGTGATGAACGGAGTGGATTGAGCTATGTTTGCATGTCTGTCTATATATATGCGAACTAGACCCYCAGTTTTGGAGATATCGATCTGAAAWTTTTCACACGATTACCTCTCAAAAAGTAAGGAAAAGCTAAGTTCGGATATAACCGAACATTTTATACTCTTGTAAATTGCAAGAATTAAAATCAGGTTGGTTATATGGGGTCTAGGGCGAGTTTTTACCCGATTTTAATCATTCCAAGCAGAAATATTCACCGTTATATGAAAAACACGCTCTCTTAATTTTACTGAGGTAAATCACTTAATGGCCGATATATTTCGCATAAAGTCAACTGGAAGTTCGAAAATCTTTATAACAGGTATATGGGGACTAAGGGAAAAATTTACCCGATTTGTCTGAAAATGAACTCAGTGAATTAATGCGTGATCAAGTTAGGAATGATAAAACAATTTGTCAAAGCTTTGGACATGGAGGAATATGGTTTTAGTGACATTCGTAGAAATATTTCCGAACTAAGTATGGAAAAGCCGAAAGACGGCATACTCGAACGTCCCGAAATGCAACAAATACAGATTTTCTCTAACTCTTGACTGTTCTTGATAGTAAATCGTAGAAATGTTTTGTGTTGAAGGTCGAAAATTTCCCAAGTAACCATTAAGTATCAATCTGTCATTCTCTAAAAATAAATAGGAGTAGCAAGTTAGACTATATCCATAATAATCTGGACAATTTTGTAAATTATAGTGAGAAACCGAAAAAGCGGATCCTAGATGGAATAATGATAATAAGATTGTTGAGATCGTCAAATGTTGGCAGATTATAGTTAGTTCTTATAGTAGATTAACCACTGGAAAATTGTAAATGAATAATATACAAACAAGGCACATCCATCGATAGCCTGTGTAACGATTGAAAAAGTTAATTTGATTTCTGATTTGGATTTAAAAAGTTTTGAGCAACGGTATTTTGAATCCATACTTGAAGGAAAATACAAGTTTTGTGTGCAAGGACCAAACATGCTTATTAGAGGTTATAAGATATTATATTAGAAAAACAAAATATATGGTTTCAATGTTATTCGTTGGTCCTCTTGTACTGCAGTACAGACTTCAAGAACCGACAAAAAGTCCCGAAATCTACCTAAAAATATTTGGTAATTTAAAAAATGTGGGTTTCTCCACAAATAATTTATTTTTGTTGCAGCTAATTCCAACAGCAAATAAATGAAAGAATTTATAGTTAGCATTTACCAATATTTACTTTTTAATACCCTGGCATCATGCTGCATATGGTAAAGTAGTTTTTCACCCAACATTTGTTTGTGACAATTAAGATTATTCTAGATATATTCTATATAAAAATGTATATATCAAAAGAGTTCCCTAGACCGTACAGCTGCTCACAGTCGAGCAGCGTTTTCGTCTAAGGTCCAACAGTCCAGTAGTGAAGCAGAAGATACCAACAGAGCTCCGACTTATTTACATTCCGCAATTACTGAGACTGAAGTACCTGGTCTTACAGTATCCTGCAATATCGTTATGGCCGGGCTAACAAGCCATCCTTTCGCTAGTTTTACACTCAAAGCTAATATCGTTACTCTACTATAGAAGTTGATAGTCACCGGAGCAGTAAACCTATACCTTTGTAGTACACAGTAACCTCTTCTTATAAAAAATTGCGGAATGTATCACTTAACAGAGTATGAATCACTGATATCGGCCGTTATCGCTCCTCAGCACTAAGCTCTCTTCTGTACTAAGGTTAACTCTTCTGAGAGTACTCGACACAGGACCCGCTGGGGGAAGCAGAGGAAGAGGAAGACATCCACTCCGTTAGAAAGATCAGATGCAAAAAGACCTGGCTACACTTGAAAGCTCCAATTGGCGCCAAACAGCGAAAAGGAAGAACGACTGGCGCGCTGTTGTAAACTCGACTATAACCGAGTAAATGGTGTCTACGCCAATAAAGAAGAAGAAAAATGTGAACTACTGTCGAATATATTGTCTGCGGTAGATTAAAATTAAATAAAATATTTCGGTTAAAAAGCATTATATAGTACTGTAATTACGTCAATATAGGGCCTACATCAAATTTAATTTATATCAAAAATGAGGCAATTGGTTGTCCATTTTGTCTCAGAAGAAATGAAGGTTACTGATTAACCTTTATTTCTTATAAAATTATAAAACTCTGCGGAAATCTAAAAATATTTCATACGCCTTTAATTCCTACAAGGGAAAATGTACATAACGGTAGGGTACACCTGAACTCAGTTCTTCCTTACCTCCGCTTTTAACAATGGGAGGGCTAGTGTTCTCGACCAATATCAGTTATTAGCTCTTTTCTATAACAAAAATTACATTTAATTGATAAATGTTGACTGGCTCTCTAACTTCAGCTCACCTTTATTCTCTGTTTACCAAACTTTTACCGCTCTACTATATAATGTCTTATCTGCTCTCTTCAAAAGGCACAAATAGAATGAACTGAAGTACTTCTCGATAACGAATCATCGCGCCAAATCACATAGTGACATATGTTTGCTTGTATGTTGTTATAAAATTCACCCCTTTCTACTACGACAGAATACTCTTCAATGCGACAATATGGTCTGCTATATATATTTAGGAGAGTAGACATATTTGAAAAGTATTTAAACGACTTGTGCAACTGAAGCAAGCCATAAACCGAAATAACAACACTTCGGATTCCAACGTAGACAACGCATAAACAATTTAATTTTTTTGAAGTAATCCCTGAAACGTTAGTGTTATGTCGATAAAACAAGAAGCAATAGCCGCTGAAAAATTGCAGGCAATCGAGGAGGATAATAATAGTGAAATAGCATCGAGTAAATCGAATCGAAAGAGACAGTTTACATTGATAGAACCAGCATTGTTTCTAAATTACATAGCGACAGCGATGGCCGGTAGGACATTTTCCAAATGTTACCTTAAAACCGTGTGCATGAAAAACGTTAATACATTATTGTTATTATTATGTTTATTAAAGGTGCTGTGTTACAAAATCAAGAACTCTACCAAACTTGTGTTGCCGTTTTCGATTACGATAAAGAATTGTGCGAACCTATGTTGGGAGTTATACCCAAAAACGCGTCATCACAAGTGAGTACTCTCAATCGTGTTAGTTTTTTGGAACATATATTACTTAGACAGTTGTCAATTGAGGATAATTGGTAGGAGTTTTTCAGTGTTATTTTCCCCAAATTTAGTGGGTAGTTAAGTAATCGATTTTAAAAGGAAACATTTGATAATTTTCGTGATTTTGCAAAGGCTTGCCGAGTTGTGAATCGAACAAACAAGTGATATAAAACCCATGTGCTGACATAAAGCAATAAAGAAGGAATGAAAAGAAGTAACCAAAACAATATTCTTCTTTATTGGCGTAGATACCGCTTACGTGGTTATAGACGAGTTCATAAATACAATACTACAACTAAAATTAGAAGCCTCGGGAAAATGGACTATTAATGGAATCAAATATTTAAACAAATTTAAAGTAAATGAGAATATGTAGAAAGTGTATAAACTCACGATTGAAAGGTGGCTGTGGCGATTCATAAAATATGCTTATTAATTTTCTGTCAATTGCTGCAACACTCGGTTACAAATTTTAAATTTGTTCAAAAGTATGTATGTATAAGTAGCGTAAGTATCATATAACAGAAGTATCAACGAAAACAATTAAAAATAGCAACAACTCGTTGCGATAAGCTTCAGACTGATAACATTAAAAAAAAAATGAAAATTGATTACGAAAAAAAAAATAGAATACATACATGTGGTAGGTAGTATCGATTATAATTAAAACAGCTGGGGATAATAACAGCAGACGGACCTACTCAGGTGGATTCCCTGTGACTCAACTACGCTATCATTAACCAAAAAAACAATAATAATAATAATAACAAATGAACGTAACAGATAGGTAAATTTCACTGAGGAAAGTAAAAAAATTATAATAAAGAATGTTAGTGTGTGTGTGTATCTCCGAAAAGCAAGAGTTCCGCCTGAAAATCCATAAAAAACAAGTGTTGTGTGTTGAATACAATGCTCGCGACAGACTGCAAATAACATCTGTCAAATAATAAATACACACGTTCTTATGGACGGACCTATTTTGACAGCTGCACGACTGCATGCCGACAGTTGTGGTTCTCCCTAACTTCAATTTAATCCTATATTTACCAACGACAGTAAGACGACAGTAGAGTTGACAGTAGAATGGAAGCTAGAGAAATGAGGTAGAGTGGTGATGCCACTAATATGTAAAATGTAAATTAAGTAATTACTCAAAGCTCAAACCTGACATTATTTTACAAATAAAAGCATAAAATAGCTCTGTTACATCATTTGTAATAACAATTGATAATTTAAAACAAATAAATTTGCCTATTTACTTATTTTTTGCTTAAAAATTTCACTTTGAACAAATTAAAATTTCATTGAAGTGCAAGGTATTAGTAAATTAGCCACAACGTGTACATGAAAAATATACAACTGCATTGTTTTGTATACATGCCGGCCATTGTTATGTTGCTGCCCTCTCACAAACGTTCATGTAGTAGGATTCACAACGCCATTTTCAGTTCAYTGTCGTGCTGCTGCAGTCTGTCGCGAACATTGTGTTCCGCACATTAAGACAACCAAACAGGAGTCACAAGCGTCTACAGAAACAACAATGTTATTAGTTTTCAAGCAGAAGCAAGTTAATGTTATTAGCAGAGCAACAAATAAATGTTTGCGAGACTGAACGACACTGTTAAATGACAAGGAAGCAAAATTAGTGACAAAAGTGAATAAATGTTACTAGCATAGCAGTGTTAAATAACTGCAAAGTATTGTTATTAACAAGCAGAAGCATATTAATGATATTTTCAGATAATTATTAAATGACTGTGAGACAGGAAATAACAAAAGCGAGTTAATGTTATTAGCAGAGTACTGGTAAATTCCTTTGAGGCCAAATGAATGACAAAGTAAGTTAATGTTATTGCAAAATACTGTTAAAGGACTGCAAAACAAAGTGAATGACAGAGGTGAAGCAATGTTTTAATAAAGCACTGTTAAATGACTGTAAAACACAATAAATAGATGTGAGTTAATGTCATTAACGAAGCTCTGTTATAGGGCTGTAAAATGAAGTGAATGACGGAAGTGTGTTACTGCTATCAGTATAGGACTACTAACTGAATAACATAGGCAAGTTTGTGTTTGTTATTAGTAGAGTACTGTTAAATGATTTCTAAACAAAATGAATGAAACAGGCGAAGAAATGTTATTAGCAGAGCGCAGTAAAGTGACAGCTTAGTCTAAAGAAATATATTTGAATGGAACAATGTAAAACAACCGTTATTTCAAATTAAAAAAATATTTAATAAAAAAAGAAAACTTCAAAAAATAAA